TCTTTTATTCACTTAATCTATTTTAGTAATGATGGGATTCTTTTATATCTTTTTTTTTCAGATGGCAGTGTATTCAGTATATTTAGATTCTACTTTATGTTGTGTGTGCTTTTGTTCCTTCAAAATCTTCTGTAGGAAAAAAAATTTTTGAACAGGAGCAGACAGAGGGATGTTCTAGGACATCCCTTCATTTAGAGACGAGTTTCTTCAGCATTAAAAAAAAAAAAGTGACTTCCAAATTGGTGAAATTGCTTCTTTTGTATAGTACAGTGACATGTTGTCTTGTGACAGTGGAACATGTGTTCTCATTTCAGACGAGCTGTTCTGTGAAAAAGTTTTATTTAGCCCACAGAGCCAGGCCCCGGATTTGTGGGTGTTACCTCCTTTCCATGTCACCAGATTTTTTTAGCAGCATTATTGCTCTGCTCCATCAGTTATAACACAGTTTAGTAGCAACCATTCTTAAAAAACAAGATGTTTCTAAAAATAGGACAGTTAACTAGAAATAAAAGGTATCAACAAAAGTAGGTCTGCTATTTGTCTATGTTTTGCTCCCTGAATCACTTCTGAGACAGTTTCACAGATAGGTAAATGAACAGGGATGGAGTGAGAATATTATCTGTATGTCCTAACATGAACTCTTATCCTATTTTATTAAGGAGATCAAATTATATAAAAACTAATTTGATTCAAAAAATTCTTAAATGTGTCACTTTTGTTCCAACTGAGGAGTTTAACCAAATGTGCTGGTTAAATAATTTTATTATTTAAATGAGAAAAGCTTGGATTCCAGAAGTAAGAACAATTTCATTCAGCTCAACATCAATAGATGGGTCCAGTTGGTAATTCATGGTCTAATTGTATAGCTGACTCAACTGAGAGGAAGCAGTGGCTTTATCATGGGGTTTTGTTCCTCTCTATGCATCAACTAAAACAAAAATTAGGTCGTGCAATATTTACTCTCTGGGCAAAATAACATTTTTCAGCTGCTCAGACTACCCACTGATTAGCAGGAATGACCAATGTGGGACAAAGAGACAGCTCCTCTAATCACTTGTTTGTCTAGCAGAAATGTGACACCCTTTTAGAGCACAACTCAAAAGACACATGAGAAATAGCCAATGCACAGCCATTCGGCATCCCACAGTTGTCCATACTTGACAAGGCTTAGGTCAAGTGCATAGAAGAGCACTGCTCTGCAGAAATCTCCATCCTGAGTACAATGATATATTCAGATGTCATCTCTGCTTCTTGATTTTACCTGTGTCTCATCTTTCTATCCACAGTGCATGTATACATATCTATATCTCAGTAATGCTTTTAATGCACACCGTTGATTTGCTTTTGTGATCTCTCTTTAATCTTGACTGTTGCTTTTATTTCCAAATCTTTTTCCATAAAAGATTAAACTAAGTTACCAAATCATACTTTATCACTTCCTCCATCCCCTCACTTAAAATTCTAGAGCAGAGCTTTCTACTCTGAATCTTTGGACCAGACATTTATGAAAGGACTTCAAGAGGCCTTGAAAAACACACAAAATCATGCCTGTGTTATCCCATGTACTTTGTTCTAAGAAAAGGACCAGGTTTTCTTCAGATTCACCAATGGGTGTAAAATTTTCCAAATTTTAAGAACTACTGTCACCTGGATTTTCTCCCTCTCATTTCTATTAGTTAGAAATGCTAGCTTGTGTCACATGCCAACCCGAGGTTCTACCAAATACATTACATTTAGTCAGCACCTTCTTTTTCCATTCTAATGCACTGCTAGTCTCATATTTTCTCTTGCCTTTCTGAAATCGGTGCTTTCTCTGTTCTAATTTAAGTATCAGAAGAAAGGGGGGAGGGAGATATCATGCACTAAACCTCTGCCAGTAACAGTGGTTTAAATAGTGACTCTGTACAAATGAGAAAAATGAAACTAAAAGAAGTTAGACAGTCCTACATCCTATAAATGGAAATGTCCATATGTAAATCTGTGTTTGAATCTAGACTTTATCCTTTCATAAAACATTAACAGGCAACATAAGTGGTCATGGGTTACTAATGGCATTATCTTTTATAATGTATAACTGAACATTTTATAATTTTTCTCTATCATCCAAACATATAGTCATTATACTTTATGAATAAATCTAGTACAAATTTAAAAATCCACACGTGTTGCTACATTGCATCAATATTGTCCTATTACTTGCACTACACAGAGGGCAAGAACCATTTTATCCATTCATTAATTCTTTCACTTTTTAAAATAACATTTACTAAATTCTACTTTTGTCAGGTGTTTTACTGAGTACTGGAATAGAGGTTCTAAATTCTCTCTTCATGTTCTAAGAAAAAGACCCAGAGTATATTGGGGAACTTAAAAAAGAAGAAAAAAAAGTATAGGCCACTGGGAATTTTTATTCAATTAATAGAGGTGGCACTTGAGCAGTGGATTTTTTAAAAAGCTGTTCTAGCTGCAGTCAATACTGAGAACCATTGTTCTAGAGCAGTAATTTTTGACACGTGATCTCCTAAATCTGCAAAATCAACATCATGTGGGAAATTCTCAGCCCATCTCCCCATCCTCCCCCATGTACTGGACCAGAAACTCCAGGCATGGGACCTGGCTAGCTGGCTCTGTTCAACAAGCCCATTAGATGTTTCTAAGGCAAGATCAAGGCTGAGAATCACTTCTCTGGGGATGCAGGATGAATAGGACACAGTACAAGCATTTTTCCTTGGTCTCAAGAAATTCCTAGTGTTTCAAATTTGCATTTTAATTACCAGTTCCATAATTTCTACCTTTAGTTGATAATGACAACATTATTACTATTGAATAAGTGTAATGACTTCATCTCTTCTTGGGCATCCATTAAATGAAGGGTTTATAAGAAAGTAGTGGTCAGTAAGTAGCATCCCTTAACGAAAGTCTTATGAATCCTATAGATTGAGCTGAAATGTCATAGTGTTTTGTAACATACACATACAGAGAGAGAAAAGAAGAGTACGAGTACTATAAAATATAAAATCTTAGAAGGCAAAATATTTCTAATTATAAAGTAACATTTGTGTTGTGTTTACATTCTATTATTAATATCATACTTACTATTTCCCACCTTTATTAATGTAGCTTTTTACAGATTTATGACACTATAATTTACATGCAATAAACTGCACATATTTAAGTCATTCAATTTGACAGATTTTGACACATACACCCAGTTGTAGGGAGAGGCATCCAGTACTATATAGGTGCCTCTTATTTGTGCAGTTTTCCTATCTACCCCCAAACAGTAGGATGAAATTACAGAAAAGGCTTCCTTAGAAAGGTTAATATGAGCTGACACTTGTAAGACAACTACATATCAGCCCAAACAAAAATAAACAAACAATGGAACTATATCAAACTAAAAAGTTTTTTTCACAGCAAAGGAAACCATCAACAAAATGAAAAGACAACCCACAGAATGGGAGGACATATTCACCAATGCTATATCTTATAAGGGGATTAATATCCAAAATTCATAAAGAACTTATACAACTCAACACCAAAAAAAAAAAAAATATCCAATTTAAAAATGGGCAAAGGATCTGAATAGACACTTCTCCAAAAAGGACAGACAGATGGCCAATAGACATAAGAAAAGATGCTCAATGTCACTAATCATCAGAGAAATGCAAATTTAAAAACCACAATGAGATTCCACCTCACACTTGTCAGAATGGCTATCAGCAATAAATTAACAAACAATAAATATTGGATAAAAGAGAACCCTTGTGTGTTGCTGGTGGGAATACAGATGGCCCCAGCCACTGTGAAAGCAGTATGGAGTTACCTCAAAAATTAAAACTGAAACTGCCTCTGACCCAACAATTTCACTTCTAGGAATACTAGTATATCTGAAGAAACTCAAACACTGATTGAAAAGAATATATGCGCCCCTATGTTCATTGAAACACTATTTACAATAGCGAAGATTTGGAAGCAGGCCAAGTGCCCATCAGTAGATGAGTGGATAAAAAAACTGTGGTACATTTACACAACGGAATGCTACTCAGCCATAAAAAAGAAAATCTTACCTTTTGCAACAGCATGGATGGACCTGGAAATCATTATGCTAAGTGAAATAAGCGAGTCAAAGAAAGACAAATATCATATGATCTCATTTGCATGTGGAATCTAATAAACAAAATAGTTTAAATAAAATAGAAACAGAACAGATTGATGGCTGCCATAGGGGAGGGTGGTTAGAGGGCTGGGTGAAAAAATAAAGGAACTAAGCAAAAAATTATAATATTATATACATGCACACACACACACACACACACACACACACACACATATATATATATATATATATATATATATATATATATATATATATATATGACACACATATATATATATATGACACATTGACTGAGACAAAAGTATGGTGATAGCCAGAGAGAAAGGGGGTGGGGTAGGTGAAAGTGAGCAAAGGGGGAATAAATGGGAACAAAAAGAGACTTTGGGTGTTAAGCACATGATGCAATATGCAGACATTATATTATTGAGCTATACTTCTGAAACCTATATGGTTGTATTAACTGATGTCACACCAATAAATTTAATAAAATTTTAAAATTTTGAAAAAGCATGTACTTGACCTTCTTGTCTCTTAAAATTCCAATTGAGAAATTAGCTTTACCACTAATGAAATATACAACTGTTACTGAGAGTAGCAATGCTATTTGAGGTCTCCACAGATCGTCTCTTACATTAAAGTCACCTGTTTAGCTTTGACCATGGATCCACTCTTGAATGCGTATTTCTCTGCTTTATTACATATAACAGTTTAATAAAGTGATGTTTTTGCTGTTATAGCAATGAAATCTAATTCCTTACCTTTAACTTCCTTCTCCTCAGCAAATCCGTGCACCCCCTAAATGTTCATTATCATTAGGCCATGTGTTAATACTGACACTTTACCTTTTGAGTTTCAGTTCTCATTCTTTTTTCTGTTGCAGGCTGGCTCCATGAGTTGGGAAAGAGACTGGAGTCTCCGTACTACGGCAACGGCAACAGCACCTTGGGGGGCCCGTCGATCCGAAGTGCCTACATTGCAGCCCTGTACTTCACGCTCAGCAGCCTCACCAGCGTTGGGTTTGGGAATGTCTCTGCCAATACCGATGCAGAAAAGATCTTCTCCATCTGCACCATGCTGATCGGTGGTAAGGGAAACTCTTCGTTTAGGCCAAGGAATCAATAAGTGTCCGCCAAACTGTTGCTCTGTCCTAAAACACAAAGAAATATCTTGGTTCATATGGGTAGAGTCTAAAAGAAATTAAATGTCACTATGTAAGCAATCAGTGACAAACATTGTAATACACGTAGAGATTAGCAATGAAAGCCTGTGATGTCAAAGAGTTCTATTTTCTGGGCAGATGAAGAAGAAACCATGTACCTGATGGCTGATTTCAGAAGGGCAAGCACTTCGTTTTCTCTCAATGCTCTTTACCCACCCCACCCCCACCCCAACACCGTGTTTGTGAATGACCTAAGTTTAAATTACAGGGAACTCCATTTTATAGTCCCAAACAGATCCATCTTATCAAATTTTATTAATACTAATAGAATAAGTTAAGGATGTTTGGTAGATCACTTAACTAAAAATAAAAACAACATAAAAACACCAATATGATAATAATTAGTTAACATTTATTGTTTCTGTGCTGCATTCTCTGTGCTAAATGCTTCAACCACATATGCTAAGTAGTTATTAAGGCAAATCTAAGGTTGAGCACTATTATTATCCCATTTATGAAATAGACAGTAGGTGCAACAGAATGTACTTTCTGTACTCTGCTTTGTATGCTGGGATTTGGACTCAACAAACTTCATTCTTCTTTGCCAGCCAATTTTAGTTACTTCTGCCAGTAGGGGGAGCCAGAGGGAGACTGAAAAGCAGGAGGAAGGGAGAAGGGGCCTCTGGATTCTGATGTGTATGATGAACCTGGTGGAAGGCCTCTCAATCAGCAGCAAACATTTCCAACCATACGCCTTTTCAGATACTCCCCCACCCCCGTGCCATTGGGCCTTCTCAGAGACCCCGGCATCTGGTGGGAGTGCCCCCACATCCAAAGTCAGAGCCCTGGTTCTTGTGGCTCCTCACAGTTCTTCCTCTGGGCTTCTACATTCCAATCATCCCGTTTGATCCCTTTGTTTACCCAGCTCCAAGGGCAGATGCCCCGTCCTTCAGTTATAGCCATGTTTCCCTTCCACTCTTTTTGCTCATTCAGCCTTCCAACACCAGGGAACACAACCTCTCTACAGTAAATTCCCTCTTGTTGAAGTATTCAGTATCATTCTCTTTTCTGAACCTCCTAAATAATACAGGAGTGATACTCTTATTATCCACAATTTTTCAGATGACAAAGCTTGGAGAAATAAAGTAACTTTCCCAATGCTTTTCAACCAGTAAGTAACAAAGGCAAGGTGTGTGAACCCAGAAGAATACTTATCTGTCTTTAAATACATAAATGGAAAATAACTGAATTATAAGACTGCTGTCAACAGCAGTAGGAGATGTGGATGTCTATCTAGAAGAAGCAAGCAATCCTCTTAGACCAGTGTTCTATTACTATGTATTGTCCCACAGTATTCTCCCCAAAGCCTGTTAATTTATATTCTCTTCCTGGCTTTAATCCCATGTTTCACTTTGAGTTTCGAACCTTATAATCAAGGATGGCTCCTACCAGCTTCCTTACTTTAAATAGAGTGATCCAACTTATGGTGAAATAAAAAATGCATAAAACAGACCCTTCAAGAATCTTATGATCCAGTTTGGAAGAGAGAGGCTGAAATGTGTAGGAAGAGTTTTGGGTTTTTTTTAAAAAAACATATTTTTATTTATTCAGAGAGGAAAGAGAGGGAGAAAGAGATAGAAACATCAATGGTGAGAAAGAATCATTAATCAGCTGCCTCCTATGTGCCCCACACGAGGGATCAAGCCCACAACCCAGGCATGTGCCCTGACTGGGAATTGAACCATGACCCCTGAGCCATGCCAACTGGGCTTTGGAAAGAATCTTAAGGATACCAGGCAGTGATTGCTAAGTGCCAAATCACTTAGGAAGTTCAGAAGCAGTGAGAAACGAGGGCCATGGATCAGAAGAATTTCTTGGAAAGGCAGTGCTTGCTGAAGTAGCATTTTGAGACCGCAGTGATTGTCACAGGCTCTTGGCTGATGTGTGGTAGTAATAGTCTGGGGAGCAGAGAACAGGAATTCTCATTTTCTGAAGAGCTACCCTGTGCCAGACCCGCTGGCGGCTGTTTAATACCCAGTATTACGACATTCATAATTGCCATGCTTCATGGCCCATCTTTCAGCCTAGCAAAATGACAATCATTTTTCAAATAAACACAGTCTATATTTATTCAATATTTGCCCATGTTTCTTCTATTCCTGGTGGAAATTTTGGGAAATGCTCAAATGCTTAAGGCTTAACCTACTAATTTGACATTCAAAGGACCTGTTAAATAATTAAAATTATTCTCTATTGATCCACCTACCTTATTGTGAGTGACTCTGAGTCATAAATTGTTAAGGGATAAAGTATTCCTGCTGTTCACTAAAAACAGGCGCTATGCTGGCCACAAAACCTAAAGATAAGGGGAATAATTGGATAACCTCACTTTGTCATTTGTTAAACGCTTATTGAACAAATTATCTGGGTGCAAAACCAGTGCTCAATTGTAAGTGGCAAAACTAATAGTTATAAGATTTGAAAGGATATAAATGATTAAAATGTGCAATACTACCTACATAGGAAACTACAAAACATTAATGAGAAAGTTTATAAATGATATAAAATAATGGAAGGATATGCAATGGTGATAGCTTTAAGACTCAATATTAAAAAGATACTAGTTGTATGCAATTAATCTAAAGATTCACTGCAGTCCCAATAAAGATCTCAGGAAATGTGTGTTTGTGTGTGTGTGTGTATATATATATGTGTGTGTGTGTGTGTGTGTGTGTGAACAGTGACAAGCTGTTCCTAAAAATCAGTAGTAATGCAGAGCTAAAATTAGTCAACACAATTATAAAGAACAAATGAAGATCTGTGCTACAGATATCAAGATCTATTAGAAAGTTACAGTAATAAACAACATATGGTGTTGGCTCAGGAATTGATAAATAGGCCAGTGGAATACAAGATAGTGTAAAAACAGGCCCATGCTTTATTTATAGCACAGGAGACACTGCAATGGAAAGGGGAAATGATGATATTCTCAAGGAATGTTACTGAGTCAAATTTACATGAAACTCTAAAACCTGTACTATAAAATTATGTCTAGATAAGTTTTTATCTAAATGTAAAAGAGAAAACAATAAGGTTTCTTAAACTTAAGAGAATAATTTTTATGACTTTGGATTTGACAAAGGTTTCTTAAACATGATACAAAAAGCCCTTAATCATAAGAGAAAGATTGCTAAATTGAACTTCTGTTTATCAAAACACTTTAGTAAGAGTGTGAAGAGGCAAACCACTGGATGGATGATATTTGCAAACATCTGACAGGAATCTTATATCTTAGCTATCACATTAGAGAACTTTTGCAAGTCAACAAGAAAAGAGCAGACAACCCAAAAATGCATAAAAATTGTAAAAGCAGTTTTAAAATAGAACTCCACTTGTGTAGCTATCTAGAAGAGGGTTTATAAAATTTATTAATTGAAATTATGTAAGTATCTAAAGAGAAACTGGGATGGCAGAGAATATTCATATTTTTTATATATTAGGATTTTTATATATTTTTATATATTATGACGCCTCTATTTTCTCAGACATTTTTATATATTAGGATGCCTCTATTTTCTCAGACATTAATCTCAATTATGCATGTTTGCCACCAAACAAAATATATGGAGAACATTTTTCCATGCCTTTAAAAGTCCTTTCATTATACTTAGTAATGGTTGCCTAATGGTCATAAAATAAGTTAGCCCCAATCAATGAGACCATTGACTCAACCTCTGAGGTTAGATAAAGCTTCTTAGTGAAGATGACTCATCACTGAGGACTTGTCCAGTTGAGATGAGGCATTGTTGCTACGAATAAAGTAGAGTGAAACTCTTAAGTCAAGGCTTTCCTCAAGTTGGCTCATCCTATATATGCTCATCCTGAAATCGTTTTATTGGGCCCATATGGGCTATGGTGTTTACAAACTCAGGTTGTTGTTAAGATGTCTTTACATTGCCATTTAAATTCATCATTTAGGAAACTGTTCTCACTCTTGTTTTCTCTCCCATCTGCCACCATAACCCAGTGTACTTGTAGCAGAGAGGAAAATTCCAGGGCAATGAATAGGTGGGAGAGAAAAGGAGGGCAGCTAAGATTACCCAAAGGCTAAACTCTGGTCTCTTTTTATAACAGCAGAAAATAAGTTCCATGTAGAATCTGAAGACACTGGCAAGTATTTGGCAAAAAAAAATCAGCAACAAGGGCTATACATAGTTTGCGTTGAACTATTCTATAGGGTATATATGCAAATTTCACCAGTTGTTTTAATCGTGTCCTTTAGAGCTATCCTCTCACCTCCAATCCAATCCAGTTTCCTGCACTGCATTGAATTATCATATATCTTTAATCTAGAACATCAATTCCTTAGGCTTTGCCTAACTTCCATGACCTGGACGCTTTTGAAGATGATAAACTAGTTCTTTTGTAGAAGGTCCTTCAATTTGGGATTGTCTGATGGTTTCTCATAAATAAATCCAGGTTATGCATTTCTATCAGGATACCAGAGAAGCGATGATGTGTCCTTTTCAATGAGTAATATGAAAATAATATGTTTGTCTGATTACTGATGATATTGACTTAGACAATTCGTCTGTCAGGCTTTTCCCACTGCAAAGTTACCTTTCTCTGCTTCAGTAAAGAATTTGTGAAGAGGGGGAATAATAAAAAGAAATCAGCAATGACATTATACTTCAGGAAAGCAATATTGCCCCAAATCCAGAGAAGTAGGAAGAAATAAGGGAGGGAGACGAATGGAACAAATGGGGAAAGGGAGAGCAGCTGGGGGAAGGAACAGAGAAAAAGAGAGAAGAATCTTCTAGATCCCAATTAATGGGGTTCCTTCAAAGACCTGCTATTAAGATGAGATTTTACAAAATACATTTTATGTAAAACTCCTACAAAAAGAAAAAGAGCCTCCCACAGACTCAGCAGCAGGCCTAGCATCCTACTTAAAGAATCATATGCATCAACTCTGCCAGGAGTAAAAAGAAAATCTTTCCCAAACTGACCTGGATAGAGAAGTTAGTTCGAGTCAAACTTTCATAGCAGATGGAATGATTTGGCCTGACACTTTCACACACTCTTTGCCAATGTGAAAATTATAACCAGTGACAAAGAGGCAATAATAACTTTGGAAACTGAAAAACTGAGAGCTAGGGTTTTCTTTTTTAACTACTTAAATTAGAAGCATTTTTCTACGTTGAAATGAGACTTTGAAATTATGGTGACTCAGACGAGTACTTACCCACAACACTTATGAATGCTACAATTAATCCAGTAATTCATTTTATTGATAGTGTACAATTAAGATGCTAAATAATCTGAACATATTACTTCTTTTACTTTAAGTGCTTTACACACATTATAATTAAGCAAAGCAAAGTTAAAATCATACACATAATTAAGGAAAGCAATGTTAAAATAAATGAAATAAAGTTGTTCTCAGTATTCAGTTTAATCTCCATAAAAGACAATTACATATTTTTACAGATGGCAGGGCTTCCAAACCCTTAGCTCGTAAGTATTAACAGAGCCTGAAATCGGTGTTTGATTTCTTTGACTTGGAACAGAATCAGTTCTTTTCTTTACTGAGTATTTATCATAAATAGGAGTTTCTTCTTTCAAATAAAATATTTAAGCATCAAAACTCTTGTGTTTCTAAAACCATATGGAATAAAACTCTATTTAGAATTCACTAAGAACCATTCCACAGTGAATTGTTAGTGATAAAACACTTTTCATGATACTTTTTTGGCCTGTTGGAAGGCATTCCATTTTTCGAAAATTTAGAAAGATTATAAATAGACTTATTTTTTAAGTGTGTTTGTTATTACAATAAAAAACTATTAAACTATAACTTTAAAGCTAATTTTATGAATTATTAAACTTTCATCATAGTTATTACATTATACATAACTAAAGTAATACAGATGTGAATCAAGTACAAAATAAAATATATGTCATAGCCAGAATGGCAGATAACAGATGAAGTGTGGGTCAAAGAGGCTTATTTTTCTCTCTTTTTCTTTCTTTCTTCTTCTTTTTTTTTAATCATTCAGTCTTCAGAGATGTTGCAGTGCATTTTTTGTTGTTGTTATTTGTTTTGTTTTTAAATATATTTTATTGATTTTTTACAGAGAGAAAAAGAGAGAGATAGAGAGTTAGAAACATGAATGAGAGAAAATTATCAATCACAACCAAGGTACATGCCCTTGACCGGAATCAAACCCGGGACCTTTCAGTCTGCAGACTGACACTCTATCCACTGAGCCAAACCGGTTTTGGCTTATTTTTCATATTATTTTTTTTAATACTTTTAGTCTGATCAAGTCATATAGAATCAAAATGACTGCATCAGGATGCACCTCATGACCAATATGTTTGTATCAAAAGGCTGTATCAATGTGGCCACATAAGCAAACTCTGCTCTAACATAGGATATACAAACAGTAAATATAGACGTAAGGGATTAGCTCCTCCTCCATATTTATCTCCCATTCTATGTGGCATTTTTCTCTTCAGCCTTGATGCATGCCTTGGTGTTTGGAAATGTGACGGCGATCATACAGAGGATGTACTCCAGATGGTCCCTCTATCACACTAGAACTAAGGATCTGAAGGACTTCATACGTGTCCATCACCTGCCCCAGCAGCTCAAGCAGAGGATGCTCGAATATTTCCAAACAACCTGGTCAGTCAACAATGGAATAGATTCCAATGAGGTAATGTTCATTTCTCATGTTGACATTTTCAGGCAGAAGGTAAAGGCAAGGTGCTTTTGGCTAGGTCTCAGAAGTGAAAGACACACCTACCAACTTCTTTATCTCTTTATTTTTTAAATCCTCTAAAAACCCAATCCATCTTCTTCCATCTGCCTTGGCTTATGTTTCCACGATGCTATTTTAGATTGACCAGTGACTTATATTAATTTGCTAGTTTAGTCAACAAGGTGGATTGATTTTCATTTTTTTTAACCTGCTTTGAAAGGAACCAATTCTTATGGCAGTTGAATGGTATAATTTGGAATACAGGGTGGGACAAAAGTAGGTTTGAAGTTGTTTATATAAAAAATAATATAATAATTAATAAATAGTACATAATAAACTTTGTATTTTATATACTCCCAACTGTAAACCTATTCCACCCTGTATTAGATTAATTAAATGAATGTTTGCATTTAAAACCAACAAAGTAAAAACAAAACAAAAAAACAAACAAACATGCTTTTCAGCAAAGGTGTTAGCTGTGGACATCCAGAAATACCCCAGACCACCACACTGTATATTAAAAAAAAAAAAAAAAAAAAAAGTTATATAAATTAAGCAAACATTCCACCAACTACCCACCACCATCACCACCATACCAGTAATCAACATTTTTTATGTGATTATTTTATTTCTTCTCTCTTCCTATAATCGTGACACCATATTACATAACTTCTGCCTGGAGTTGAGTCTTTGTGAGAAGCAAGTCACAATGAGCTGTATGGTTTCATTCTAGAATCTTTTATTTATTCGTTTATTGTGTTTCTCTAATCTTCTTATCAGCTTGTAATTCAGGAGCACATAACTGGGGTCACAGTCATTGAAAACTCTCTCCAGGACTATACATATTGATATTTCCTCTTCTGCATTCTGGTTGGTCAAACAATGGGAAGAACATCCCTATTGACTTGCAAAGCAAATAACTTAGACTTACCCCAACTTGATTTTTCTCTTTCATCTTTTTTGGCAGCTTCTGAAAGACTTTCCAGATGAGCTGCGTTCTGACATCACTATGCACTTGAACAAGGAAATCTTACAGTTGTCCCTCTTTGAGTGTGCCAGCCGGGGCTGTCTCAGGTCTCTGTCTCTACACATTAAAACCTCTTTCTGTGCTCCGGGCGAGTATCTGCTGCGTCAAGGAGATGCTCTGCAGGCCATCTACTTTGTATGCTCGGGCTCCATGGAAGTTCTTAAAGACAGCATGGTGCTCGCTATTCTTGGTAGGTCCAAAGTTGAAAGTTCCATAAAATTCTACTCTGGATCATAAGTTAGAGATGAAATGAGGGTTGGGGAAGGGAGGGATTGCCATAGATTAAGAAAATTGTGGCTGCATAGGTAGACTCAGGATTTTCCTTCATATGGGTTTAAACCACATATTGAGTTTATACTATGTTAAGTGGTATATCCAACATATTATTTGATTCTTGCTAAAAATCCAGCTCCCATTTACAAATGAATAAATAGTATTTTAGTATAACAGGTAGTAAATAGTCCCCGTTACCCAAGGGGATATGTTTCAAGACCCCCAGTGGATGTCTACAGAAATACACATATATTTCTATTCATGTCTTTCCCCACAAATTTGATGCCTTTTTCATCTTAACTAAGCATTTATCACACTCCGTGGCCATAACTTTTACAGTTTGAGGTATAACAGCAAAACTAGCACAAATTTCCTTTTCTTCCTTTACAATTCCATAGAAAGAAGATTTCTTCTTACCCAAGAGTTTAGCAATATTAGCATATGATTTCCCCCGCCTTGTTGAGTGGAGAACTTCTACTGTTTCACTTTAAGGCTTGTCTTTGCCAGCATCATTACTGTTGCACATTGGGGTCATTATTAAAATAAGGGTTACTTCAACACAAGCCCTGGGAAACAGTGACAGTCAATCTAATCATGAAGACAGCCATAATTTACTAACAGGCAGGGAGCATATACAGCATGGATATGCTGGATGAAGGTATGATTCTCATCCTGGGTGGGAGAGAATGAGACTTCATCTTGCTACTCAGACTGGCGCACAGTTTAAAGCTTAATATCAGCTTATTTCTGGAAATTTCCATTTAATTTTTTCAGACCACAGTTGATCGCGTGTAACTGCAACTGCACAAGGCAAAACCTCAAATAAGGGCGCGGGACAGGGATAATACTGTGATAAGAAAAATAATGTAATTCTTTCTGACTTCTGAAGCCAGGTTATTAATCATGATGCATAACTGCCCCTTGGTAAAATGGCTGGTCAGTTTTAAGAGGCCATTCAAGTATCTTTGTGGAGAAATAATTCAGAGAAGAACATGAACATTAAGTTTTATCTGTGCTAGAAGTAGCTCAAAAGTGATTATGCATTAAGCCAAAACAGGTTTGGCTCAGTGGATAGAGCGTTGACCTGCAGTCTGAAAGGTCCCGGGTTTGATTCTGGTTAAGGGCATGTACCTTGGTTTCGGGCACATACCCAGTAGGGGGTGTGCAGGAGGCAGCTGATCGATGATTCTCTCATCGATGTTTCTAACTCTCTATCCCTCTCCCTTCCTCTCTGTAAAAAAGAGTAAGCTCTCAGACCTTAGTTCTCTTTCCCATCTTGCAAGATGGTGGGTGAAAAGAAAACTGAGAAGCCAGATATTAAGAAGAAGAAGCCTGAAGCCAAGAAGGCTAATGATGGCCACAAAGTTACGGGACCTAAGAAGGGGAAGACCCGCTGCAGCCAAAATCCCTTCCTCAGCAGAGGAATTGGCAGATATTACCGACTATGTGTTCCCGAAAGGCCATGTACAAGAGGAAGTATTCAGCAGTTAAATCCAGGATTGAAAAGAAAAAGAAAGTTCTTGCTACTGTCACAAAACCAGTTGGTGGCGACAAGAATGATGGTACCCAAGTGGTTCAACTCCACAAAATGCCTAGATGTGATCCTACTGAAGATGTGCCTCGAACGCTATTGAGCCATGGCAAGAAACCCTTTAGTCAGCATGTAAGGAGATTTCGGGCCAGCATCCCTCCTGGGACCATTCTGATCATCCTCACTGGGCACCACAGAGGCAAGAAGGTGGTTTCCTGAAGCAGCTACAGAACAGCACAAGGTGTGGATTCACAGATTCTGCAAGAAATCAAAGATGATCCTCTCTTCGCTCTCACCAATGGGCTTTATCCTCACAAACTGGTGTTCTGAATTTCTTATAAGAACCCGATTAAACAACAACAACAACAAAGAATAAGATCTCATTGCCCAGCTGGTATAGTTCAGTGGTTGAGTATTAACTTGTGAACCAAGAAGTCACAATTCGATTCTCAGTCAGGGTACATGCCTGGGTGGTGGGCTCAGTCATGAGTAGAGGGCTCAGCTGGTCAATGTTTCTATCTCCCTCTCCCTTCTTCTCTCTATAAAAATATTTTTTAAAAGAATAAGCCCTCATAAAAGTTATTATGCTTGGTTTTTCTACCTCTAACTAATGCCTCTTTTTCTCTACAATCATTGTAAACCTGCAGACTCTGGATTCTAGCCAGTAAGCTTCAAGGTAGAATAGAATTTGGAAGAAAGAAAAATACTAATACTTATTTAATTCTTAATGTGAGCTGGGTGTTTTATGTCTATTACCCAACTTAAACCTTGCAACCCTCTTAGGTTGGTGTGATTCTCCCCAGTTAGGTGAAGAGATGGAGGGTAGTAAATGGTGAATACCCATGTTTTTCTTACACTTCCTGTTAACTTCAGTTTACCTCTTAGCAGAAGAAATGTAGGGCTTGCCTTTCAAAGTTCTAGCTCAATTCTTGACTCACCATGTTTTATTCCTTCATACAAAGACATGGAATAGCAACTCAAAGAATTGATTAACAGTCTGGCCAGTTCATTATCACTACTAGAGCGAGGCTCAGTATGGGTGTGTTTTACTTAAGAGAAAATTTAACACTTTTCCTGCCCACTTCTCAACTTTGTGAAGTTAAAGGCCAGTCATTCTATCATTCTGTGAATCTAAATAAAAAGTGACAGTTATTTTTAAATTTGCTTCAAACGCTTAACTTTAATCATAAAATACTTTTCCCTGTACTTCCTTAGTACCACTAAAACTTTTACAGCCTGCCTTTTGACATAGCCTGCTTTGAAAAGGATCTATATAGAATGGGACAAAAGTAGGTCTACAGTTGTCTGTATGAAGAAAAAAAACACCTATCTAATAAAAGAGTAATATGCAAATTAAGCCATCACTTGCTACACCCAGAAGCCACACACACTAGCCAATCAGGAGTGAGTATGCAAATTAGTCCAACCAAGATGGTTGCAGCCACAGAAAGAGCAGGAAAGAGGTTTGGGATTCCCTGGCAATGGAGGAAGCCAAGCTTTCCACCTGCCCTTGCCAGAAGTTTCAATAATAGAAAATAAATAAATCCCAACAAAAATGATGGCAGCCACAGAGCTGGAGAGAGCAGGAGGCTTGAGTTTCCCTCAGAGATGGAGGAAGACAAGCTTTCCACCTGCCCTGGCCGGCCCAGACGTCCTCTCCAAGCTACAAAGTTTCAATTATAGAAGATAAATAAATCCCAATAAAAATGGCTGCCACCACAGAGCAAGCAGAAGGCTTGGCTCCGCTCCAGGCTACAAAGTTTCAATTGTAGAAGATAAATATATCCCAGATACCAGGGCCTCCTCTTGGGTCACTAGGGGGGGTGTGGCCAGCCTGTAAACCACCACAGCCCCTCACCTTGGCTGCCCCACACCCCAAGGGAACCCCCACCCTGAGCTAGGACACCCTTCAGGGCAAATCAGCTAGCCTTCACCCATGTACCAGGCCTCTATCCTATCTATTATAATAAAAGAGTAATATGCAGATTGACGATCTCTCCAACACACAAGATGGCTGTCCCCATGTGGTCAAAGATCCTGCCCCCATGTTAACACAAGAGGGCCACCACAAGATGGCCAGCAGGGGAGGGCAGCTGGGAGGCACCAGACCTGCAATAGAGGACAGTTGTGGGTGATCAGGTCAGCAAGGGAGGGCAGTTAGGGGTGACCAGGCTGGCAGAGGAGGAAGTTGGGGGCAAACAGGCTGGCAGAGAAGCAGTTAGACATCAATCAGGCTGGCAGGGGAGTGGTTAGGGGCTGATCAGGCTGGCAGGCAGAAGCAGTTAGGGGCAATCAGGAAGGCTGGCAGGCAAGCAGTTGGGAGCCAGCAGTCCTGGATTGTGAGAGGGATGTTCGACTGCCTGGTGGGATGGGGCCTAAATAGTCGGATATCCTTCGAGGGGTCCCAGATTGGAAAGAATGCAGGCTGGACAATCCCTGCCCCCTCACCTGTGCAAATTTCATGCACCAGTCCTCTAGTACAATAAATAACAAGTAATATAAGAATAAACTCTTTCACATAATCACAACTGTAAATCTACTTTTGCCCTACTCTGTGTTTTTCCAGAACCTATGGTTTGCTATAACATGTAAGCAAAAACAATACACCATTTTAAAACATATGTGGACTTCCATGATTGCAGTTGTTTTGTTTTTGTTTTGCTTTTTAATTTAGTAACTAGCAACAATTCTAGTAATGGAATATGAATGTATCATCCATAACATTAGGGCACAATAGCACAGATTTGATGGCTTCTATATAATTATCATTATTCATAAGACATAATTCAATTGAATTTTCTTATTTTTTTAAAAATCTGCTTACAGCTAAAAGACTTCATCCAATGTCTCTTTCTTCTGGCCCCAATTTCTTCCATAAATTGTGTTTTTCATGATTAACATTTTCACATATTTGCTGCTACCATGTAACTTATCAAAAGTGTTTTAAAAGCAAATTGCCACATGATCATTCTAAACAATAGTATGTGATACTGGAACTAAACCCAAACAAAGATAATAAGTGATTAATATTCTGTGTGGTTAACATTATTTCACTAGAGGTTAATTCTTTTACTTTACCTATGGGAATATTGTCTTATAGGGCCAATTCAAATCAATACTGTCTTTGATAAACTTAGACACAGGACTTCACATTTGATCTGTCAACATTTAATACATGTTCACTCTGCCAACAAAATGAATATATAATGTAGGGAAGAAGTTATCACCAAACAGCTGTCAAGCCATAACTTATTCAAACAACTCACTATCCAAACAATACACAAAGGCATTTCTTAATCTGAAGCCTGGGAGGCAGCTGACACGAAGGCAGGGATTCTTTATGGGGATAGAATTTGTTTGCCTTGTACACCTTCATTTCATGTCCCGTTGTGTTTTTCCCACCAATTTCTTCATTGTTGTTTAAAAGAAAATAACAAAGCACTGATAAATGTGCTCTTCACAGATGGCATTAGTCTGCCTAATTATAATTAAACATAAGTTACTGCTCTTACCTGGATGATTTGTAAATGCATCTCATCAACTCTTTTTCCCCAATGAAAGAATAACTGATTAGCAAACATCAATAATGGAATTCTGAAAAATGTAGACTGTAATGGGACCACCGATATCTTTCTCTTCTTTCAGAAATAAGGATAACAAAACCCAAAGCAATTAAGAAACTTAGATCTGGGTCCTGAATCTAGACAGTGAGAAATCCACAAGACATTCAACTTGTTGAGAGGGAGACTCATGTTGTTAATTACCAGTGCCTGTGTGCCAGCGCTCAACCTGAGGTCCCACACATATGTCAATTATTTCATAAATATTGAGTGACTAAATAAATTGAAATCTTTCTTAGACTGCCACATTAGGCAAGATGATGGTATTGTTTTTATTACTGGTCATTGTGGCTGAAAGACTCATCCTGTGGTAGCTCAAGGTATGAAAGTATGATGACCCTAAAGATTCTATAGATAACAATTGCTTAAAAGAATATGTCAATGTTCGTTGTAGCAAGATAAGTATATCATGATCAATTCTCCTTATAGATTCAGAACTTAAATTGTTTCTGTATTCAAGGCATCCTGGCTGTATTTATATCTGGCATCAGTACCCAACGTTGAGTTTTTAGATTTCTAAAGAAAATGTGAAAGAAACGAAATGTCCAAGTTTAGCAGTATTGGTGATGGCAATGAATCAAACTGGAATTCTTCAACACCATGTGGCTGTTCATACCTACTGTCTATAAACAGAGATTTTAGTCTTTTTTCTTTTGCCATGTAGTCTCAATTTCAAGGTTTAAATCTAACATTAATTTGAAGATAATACTTAAATGTAATTCAATTATTTTTAAATGCTCAGCTTTTCACTGCTATACATATTTTTTATTATCTTAGGTATTCGTGGTTAATTTTGCATTGCTTCCTTTTACTGTCAAATTCTGTAAAACAGACTTTTGTTGAAGCAAGCCTACTACCTTCCAGGGACATGGCTTCCAGAACTTCTGAACACACACACACACACAAAAAAAAAAAAACAATTTTAAAGTTAAAAATTAATTGAATGGGAGGCAGAGGGGGACAGTTTGTGCTATGACATTCTGAAGGTGTTATTTGCTTGGTGGGTTTTGGTTGGTCAGTTGTTGGTTATTGTTTCCATTTGAAATGGAGAATCAAAGTGACCACAAAAAAGTGAAAGTTAAAGTCTAGGCATGATGCTATGTGAGGACAAAGCAAAGATGCAGAAACTCCTAAGTTAATGCCACTGTCCTCTGTGAACTTGGGTCATATCACCTCAGCTTTTTACCTAAGTTTGTCTGAGAACTGAATGGATTTTTTTTTTTCCTATTTCTCATATGGATGCCGAGTGAATGAATGATTATCTAAAAGAAATCTGAAGTGGTAATCAGTTTTTTGTTAGCACTTACAGCCATGCTCACCTTCCTGCTAAATTAAACTGAGTCAATTCAAGCCAAAGATTTTAAAGGTTCAAATAAATTGCTCAGTATACTAGTATCTAATCAACAAATTCAAGGAAGCAAGCTAGTTCTAGGCAGGTAAATTTTGATAGGCTGGGGTACTGTAGACAAAATAGCAAAGGTTGGGGAGTGAGGGGCAGAGAGAGCACAGATAACTTGGGGAAATTGCATTAGATCCTCCCTCTCTGAGTGGCACAAATGAGGAGCTTCTGTTTTTCATGACAAAAATTGAGTTTACACACTGCCATGGAGCATTAGAACTAAGAATTGTGTTTTAGATTTCTATGCAGTAAGTTTCATTGTCTATAATGTCCAATGGTTATCTTGCCTCCCAACTCTGAGAAGCAAGATGGAGGGCTCCTCCTCCAACATCACTTGTCTGGTAGACATATTTATAGATAAAGTAAACTGAATATGCTAGAAAGCTGATGGTAATGCTTATATTATTTTCCAAAGTGCTGGAATCAAAATTACTAATACACCTCTTGATAGTCTACCTCAGAATCACAGAGACTTTCTACACTCAGAAAAATCTCAGCTATTATTATTTCCTTTGAATGGGTAAAGCAACTGAGACAAAAATGTCAAATGGTTTGTCTAAAGCACATGTGTCAAACACAAAGCCCGTGGGCCAAATCCGTCCCGCCAGGCCTTGCAATGTGGCCCGCACCGCGCTGTCATCACTGCCCTCCACTGCGTTTCCATCACAATGACAGTTTATGACTGTTCAGTAAACCATTCGGCCCGCGATTTAGGCTGGATTTTAGATTTTGGCCCCTTCTCTGATTGAGTTCGACACCCCTAGTCTAAAGTCACTTACTGAATCCTGCGAGGAGCCTGTCTTAAGCCATCTATGTCCTACAATTCCTAACTCTTGGTCTCCTGGCCTTTATCCTCCACAACAGAAATCTCAACTAGAACCAGTTTTTCCCACCAGGAAACATTTGTCAGTGTCTGAAGATATCTTGGGTTGTCACCACTAGGGATGGGGAATGTGAGGTGTTGATAAACATTCTGCTATGTGCAGAATACCCCCCCCAAACAAAAGATGATCAGACCACCAAATCCCAACACTACTGAGATTGAGAAATCCCCCACCAGATAAAGGTTCCACTTCTCCTTTTTGTGTAATCTCAAAGAAATGAAGTTACTAGTCTGAAACTTGTTTTCTTTGAAGTGATATGTCTCTTTTTTCACTGTTTCAAGGAAAAGGGGATTTAATTGGAGCAAATCTATCAATTAAGGACCAAGTGATCAAGACCAATGCAGATGTGAAGGCTTTAACCTACTGTGATCTCCAGTGTATCATCCTCAAAGGACTCTTTGAAGTGCTAGACCTTTACCCAGAATATGCTCACAAATTCGTGGAAGACATTCAGCATGACCTCACATACAACCTTCGAGAAGGTCATGAGAGTGATGTAAGTCTCACTTCTAATTAATGCTGAGACCTAGTAACATGGGGCCTGGGTCATTTACAACAGTAAAGGCACGTCAGGATAGTCTCTAAATGTATAAGGTATGACTAGTTAGCCACTGGTTGAGCAATTAAATAATGAGCTACAAGTTCAACCTGGCATTCTAGAAAGCACAATGACTTCTCTTTAACTCAGTTTCTTATTTTCATGTGCTTATAACTGGAATCGATTTTAATTATATACTATTGAGCTAGAAATGTGTGATTTCTGAAGTTTTGGATAGAGTATTTGGAAATTTATCTGAAATAGATGGTTCAGAGTTTGCTGACTTTGTAATTGTTCAACACTACACTTGCTAGAAATTAATTTTGCCTAAAAGTCGTTATTTTGTTAACCGCTACCGAAAGTCTATCTTAAAATGACTAAATATGCATAAAAGGATTCAAGCCAAAGATTGTCACACTCAAGACACAATGAACTTTTCCTAAAATTATATATTTGAGAATGTTTCAGTTTATACAGTTTTCCTGTCTAAATGTGTACTCTACGACATCCTGTGATTAATCTGATCATGAACATGACTTCATTAGACGTGTGTGAGAGAGAAAAATGATTTCATAGCAATGATTGTTGAAAAGCAAGCTGGAGCATGCATAGCATGTAACATCAAAGGCTTTGATCTGATGTCTTGAGCTTTGTCCCAGATATTTGCAATACTCGATTGCTTTCCTAAAGGCTTAAGAAGCTATTGTTTTTGACTAACCTCTATTGTGCAGACATTTTGTTAGTCATTAATATCTTCCACTTTGAAAAGTAGAGAAAAAATCCTGACTGTGTATTAGTTCATCTGGGTTAAGGATGTCCAGTGACAGTCAATACACTGAAGTTCAAGATTGCATGTTTTGAATGTGTGCTTCTCTCCACTGATGATAGCAAACAGCAAAGGAGGCATCATATTTTTTGGGGACCTATTTATGCTAAGCCCTCTACCTGCCTAGAGCATTTCATTTAGAGCTTAAAATTACTTTTTAAGGTAACAGTAAATCCATTTTTATGGAACAGAAAACTGATGCAGAATGGTTAATAGCTGGTATGAGAACACAGAAATGTGTAGGTGGCAGAGACAGTGTATTCTGTCATTTTAAAATCTGTACACTTTCTACTAGTTCTGTCATCTCTCCTTCTTGAAGATACTTTTCATCTCTTCTCATTCAATAGACCCAGTTTTAAAGTTACAGGTTCCTTTTGTGCTCTCCATGACAGCCTAATGTGAAAACTATTTTTGAAGAGTGGAGGTGAGCTAGGGGATAGAAGCAACCAAATGGCAAAGAAGAAATGAGAGAATAACCAATACTCCTCAGCTCAGACAAATGTAACATTGGATATCAGCACCTGCTTTCATTTTATGTGATTACTTTTGAAGGATCCTTACTTTTGATCAAATTTTTTATCCTTTTTTTCCTATTTGCTGAGATATTAATCACATTTGATTTTAAAACTTTAATATCTGAATTGCTTATGGGATTATTTTCATTATTTGTTACTTTCTTTGGATTTTGTTACTGTTGTTTTGTCATTTGATCCCTTTTTATTGGCAGATGCCATAACTTTGTTTAACTGTAGATGTGGCTTATGAAAGAATGTATATATTGTTTTCTGCCAAATAGGGTAGGTTTTCTTTTGACGGGAGGATAGGGTACCAGCATATCACTTTCATTCTGTTCATGGTTTCTCTTCTGCTTTGTTAGGCTCTTCAGTTTTGCTCCTATTCCCTGGGTGTAGCCCTTACTCCCAAATCATGGTTTTTCCAGGATATCCGCCAAGAGCCTGGAACCACATGACTGCTGAAATCTCTGTTCTGCCTCCCAGTTGCTTCTCCGTTTCTCAGAGCACTACCCTGTGCACACTTAACTCAGGAGCTGGCTAATGCTTCATGGACCACATTGATGTAGCTGCTTCCTCTTTGGAATTTTACTCCTTAAATCCCAGATACTTTGGTATACCTGAACTTCATCCTCTGTCTCCTCTACCACTACGATTGCTCCTTTCTATTCTACTCTGTTCCACTTCACAATGAAATAATGAATTCCCTTAGATATGAGCACCATATCTATCAAGGCATTTTTCTGAGGGAATTCACTATTTCAATGCCTGGATAGATATAATGTTCATATTAGTGCTTCTCTTTCTCAGGGATCACAGCTCTTACCTAGATGCTTAGGGTTAGGGTTAGGGTTAGAGTTAGGGTTAGAGTTAGCACTGCTCTCCAGTGCTTTCCAACAGTTATTTTATGTACTTCATCCAGCTTTATAATTATTTTTCCCTGAAGGGTTAGTTCAATGTACGTTACTTCAATATGGGTGGAACCAAAAGTATAGCTTCTTTTCAGAAGGCTCCTACGAGCTACATATTTAATGGAACTGAAACTTGTCTCTTTATTGTTTTGCATTTCCTAATCTTTTATCACTTGAAACTTCCATGTACATGGCAGTGTCCCAAAAAGATATATTATACACACTTCGAATATTTACAAAATCAGTGTCTATAAACATACAGTTCATTTTCAAAATTTAAAGGAATCTACAGAAATGGATAATTTTTTAAAGCAGTGGTTTTATTGTTCATATTATTACAAATATTCCCCCCCCTCCATTGCTCTCCTCCACCAGGTTCCCACCCCACCCTCTGCCCTTTCCCCACCCCCCATTGTCCTCATCCATAGGTGCACAGTTTATGTTCAGTCTCTTCCCACATCTCCCTCTCCCCTTTTCCCCAAGAATCGTCAGTTCACTCCCCTTCCATACCTCTGATTCTATTATATTCAACAGTTAATATTGTTCATCAGATTTTTTTTTAATTTCCTTGGTTTTTAGATTCACTTGTTGATAGTTACATATTTGTTGTTCATAATTTTTATCTTTATTTACTTTCTCTTCGGAAAGAACCCCCTTCAGCAATTCATATAATTCTGGTTTGGTGGTGATGAACTCCTTTAGCTTTTTTTTTTTATTGGTGAAGCTCTTTATCTGGCCCTCGATTCTGAGTGATAGCTTTGCTGGGTAGATTACCTTTGGCTGTAGGTTCTTACTATTCATCAGTTTGAATATTTCTTGCCATTCCCGTCTGGCCTGCATGGTTTCTGTTGAGAAATCAACTGACAATCGTATAGGTGCTCTTTTATAGGTAACTACCTGCTTTGCTCTTGCTGCTTTTAATATTCTCTCTTTGTCTTTTGCTCTTGGAATTTTAATTATGATTTGTCTTGGTGTGGTCCTCTTTGGATTCCTTTTGTTTGGAGTTCTGTGCGCTTCCTGGACTTGTAAGTTTAATTCTTTCACCAGGTGGGGGAAGTTTTCTGTCACTATTAGAAATGAATAATTTTTTGGTCAATGCCTGTTTTCAAACTGATGAACGTTTTGGTCCAGGCACAGCTGATAATGCAAAGCAATGGAATCGCAAACATCAAGAATCATTTCATTGGTTATTTGTGTGCCCTCAGTTCATTGACTGCCAGTTTTGTACTATAAACTTCATTTTTTATGTATCCCCATAAAAAAAGTCCAGTGGCACTCTAGGATAAATTTTATTTGTTCAAAGTTTAGTCTGGCTTCACCCATAATTTAAAATCAGTTAAATCTGAAAAGGAGTGGAAATTGAATTATCAGCTGTTAAAGTATGCATTTGTTATTCTGGGACACCCTATATATTCAAAATCCTGGGACTAGGTAAACTTGGACCATCCTTCCCCATAATTTGTGGGGGGAAGTCTGTGCTCTTCCTAAGCATAACATAACTATTAGGCGAGGTGATATCCTCTCTGTCTACAACTCTGACCCGGTGTCAGACCACTGTGGAGCCCAGCTCTACTCCTTAATGTCCATGCACAACCAAACAAAAATATCCAGTCACACAGGGTTTGGGTGAGTGGAAGCTTTTGTTGAAGGTTGGTCAATGGATTCTAGTAGTAACATTTGCATAACATAAATGGAAATAATAATAAAAATGTATATTTTACATGTATATATCCCTGTTCTTAAAAAGCATGGGGTCACTCTGTCACACTGTTTAGTTTCTTATTATTGTTCTTGCCTATCTCTTCTCCTCTCATCTATGTACTCTCTCCATCCCCAAATTCTCCATAATTTCTGATACATATTTGCTTAACTATGTCTTTGATTGTCCTGTATGTTTCTTTTTAAAATATATATTTTTTTTTTAATTTTTTTTTTCAGAGAGGAAGAGAGAGAGGGATAGACACTTCAATGATGAGAAAGAATCATTGATTGGCTGCCTCCTGCACACCCCACACTGGGGATTGAGCCCACAATCCGGACATGTGCCCTGACCAGGAATCAAACAGTGACTGCCTCATTCATAGGTTGACATTAAACCACTGAGCCAGGCCAGCCAGGCTCTTTAGGCTTTATAATTTTGCCTTCTAGATGTCACCTTTTACCACAAGTAGCAATATAAACTACCAGATGACATAGCTAATTACCAGAATATTTGGGGTAAAAAGAAGATTGATAGTCCACCCATTTTGAAATAAATATCAAAAAGCATTTTAAGAAATAGTCAAAACTAAAACATGCGTGAAACAGTGAGATATGACAACTAGAACTGTGATAAATTACATAACGTTAGAATGACAGCTCATCCAATTCTCACAGGAAAAATCATTAAAATGCATAAAATATTTTCTGAGTTTGTGAAAAGTCCAGCTAACACTGCTTTGGCCTCATGCTAATTATGCATATTGTGCACCCAGTGTATTTTCTACATTTGCCCTGATTTATATCTCCTGAATGGCCAATAATGACAGAATAATTTTGCATCTCTCTATGCAGTTTATGAGAAATATGCTTCACTGCTTCTCATGGTAAACACTTTAAAATGATTTTAGCAAAATGTTCATTGTAAAATTTTGTTTTCATTAACACAGAATTTTGAATTTGTGATAAGCAAATAAAATGATTCAAGTGTATGTACAATATGTGATGTAA